AACGAATTTTACGTTAAAACGTTTTACGAAAAAAGTGATGTAATAAATTTAAATAGTATCTGATGCTAGTTTTCACCAAATAAATCATAAGTTAAATGTCAATTGCATTATAGTTGTTCACAATACGATGTGCTATATAAATAATAATTTATTATCGTGACTTTCATAAGTACCCTTCAAAATAATTGGTTTTAAATTATCACCTAGGGAGACCACGCATAAGATATGAAACAAACTTAGTTAATGGAAATTTTTTCCGCATAAGTAAAGGAAAAATATGAGATAGTGATTTTCTCCAATCGGAAGTTTGAAAAAGAGAAAGAATTCGAGAATGACTAACGTTTGAATGTGTTAGGTGCCTAAAAAGTATTACTGTGAGCGTATATACTGATTATATTGTACTGTAAGGTATCGGTTATTAAAACACCAAACCGTTACATAAAACTTGCTGACGTTTTAGTCTACTATTATCATTAACTACTCTCTATTCTATCTTCTATCTTTTATTTTAGTTGCTTACTAATATTGCATATTATCACAATATTAAACAATACATATAAAAACAAATTTCGCAGATTTATACAGTCTTGTACGTTTTATGTCAGTAACATGTTCGTCGTATATGAGAGGGTTTATATTCACACAATCATAATTGAATGCTTCTAGATCTGATTTTTCTGATTATTGAACATTACAAAGTTGTTAAAGATGACATATCTTCTACGGTGGCCTTTAATTAGGATCCCGTGCCTCAAAAGGTTAAAATGAAACCGTATAAGATCACTCTCTTGTCCGTCTGTCCGTCTGCCCGTGTGTCTCAGGAACGGGTGAACCTAGCAAATTTCTACCAGATACTGAGGTCTATAGTCCCTAGTATAAAAAATAAAATCAAGGTCCTGATTGAACGCCATAAAAAGATATGGGCAAATTTAGATTTTCGCGAAAACTTGTAAGTACCAAAAATTATCTTAATTTTCAACTTTATTAAAGTAAAGTAAAGTATCAGCCTATATATGTCCCACTGCTGGTCAAAGGCCTCCTCTGTACAGAGGGTATCAGGCCATATCCACTATGCGGTCCCACTGCGGATTAGCGGACTTCACGTATTTTCGAAGCATTTTTTTTATTATAATTCCGAAAATGTGCAGGTTTCCTCACGATGTTTTTCTTCACCGCTGTACACCGATGATTCATCATTTGAAATTAACAATTTTTTGTTTGAGCTTATTGAATTAAAGGCGAGGAGCGCCCGAACACTGAGCTATCACGGCTCTTTATTTTTTTTCCTTTATTATTTTTTTATCATATATTTTTATTAAATTTTCCCTTTACTTGTGCTGTAAGACCTTGCTTTTAACCAAAATTGGTTCTAGGTCAACCGGAAGTACCCTAATATAAGTCTTGGGTCAAGAACCTGTTTGTAGTTCCCGTTGACCTAGAATCACGAAATTTGGCAATAAGGAAAGTACATCACAAATAAAGGAAAAATTAAAGGGTTCCCATTCATATATAATTGACGCCAATCTTCTGAGGTATGTGGGCGCTCATACAAATTAGAGAAGTAGTTCAGATAATGGAACGGAACCCTTCGTTCTCGACTCTCACTCGCACATGGTCAGTTTTTTTTAATGGAAGCTTTCTTTAAAAAATGGACAATCTTGTGAGTTGCTCTTATTTATCTATGGTAGAAAACCAGGAATTCTCTCTACTGGCTGCTTTCACTCGGTCAGTGTGACGCAGGTGTGGTGTTCATAGCTTGTTGTACTAAAACGAGTGGTGGTTAGAATAACTATATTTACCAAAAAAAAAAAAACAACTCACTTACACGAGTTGTTTTTATAAGAGTAGTTCAAGATATTATTTGAATTGCATATAACTAAAAAATCAAAGGAAACTATATACTTAGTTGCTATATCAATAACCTGTAGCTCCATATATATTCTAAAATGCATACATTTTATTCGATGATTTCAAGTATTGCAGATTGCCAAGCTCTCATCTACATAGATCTTTTAAAATTTTAGATGAATTATGTCTATATTTTGGATAAATATGCCTTCACATAAAAATCTTCCGTGATTATAAAAGAGACATTGAGAGCTATTAGACAGCCCATTGCTACACCATCTATGCGTAAAACTATTATCTGTCCTGAGATAAAATATGAAATTACTATAACAGACAGTCTATACATAAGCCCTATGTTATCGATGAGGTTAGCCGCTGGTAGCCTTGTGTTAGAATGGTTAAATTCGGGGAGCATTACATAGAAGTAATTTTTATATAGAGCATAACCTACTAGTGTGATCAGAACAGAAAAAACGTGGTTCTTTAATGAGTGAAATAAGACCCTATAACACGAAATATCTTTTGTTACCTTACACCAGTCACAAATTTAAGAAAATTATTTTTTCTTGTGAAAAACCCGAAAAACGGATAATTAATTTACTTACTTACTTATTAACTTACTTAATTTAATTGACTTAAGGTTGAAGGTGTACCTTTTACACGCGCTGTCTCCAACGCATATTAGATATTTCTTAGGAGGAGCTAATTACGACCAGAAAGGTGCTCAATATCGCACAAAGCATAGCTGCCGTCCTAAAGCTCGGGCTGATCCGTTGGCGTGGGCATATGCAGCGTGGAGCCTTCTCGTTTGCCAAAACTCTCGTACAAACTGCAGGCAATAAACATTCGGTCGGTTGTTCATTCGTCATTCATAGTCAGAGCCAAGTGTTATTTTAATTTAGAAACAAAATTTCAGAAAGCATCGTTTAAGCAGCAAAGAAAAAAAAGCATCGCTTGTACATAATAGAGTTTTTGTCATATTTACTTACAATTTAAGATTGCCAAATTTTAATAATGTGGGTCCCGGCTACCTCACTCACCAGACGAAACGCAGAAGTGTAACACATCTACTTTACACCGGTCTTCTGTGAGGTCATGGTACTAAACCGGACGAACCTGCCCATTCATGCAAGAGCGAATACTGTAGCGTGGTCTTACCATAGTATAATAACAATTGAATAAAATAGGTTAAAATTTATTTAGATTCTATATTAACATGAAACTTGCGTCACAAAATGTGGCAAAAAGTTATATAAAAACCAGCATCAGTTAAGAATTTGGATTCTGAAACGTAATTTTGAAATACCATTTTATACATAACACGATCAAAAGAAGAAATAGCTTTTTTTTATTTTACTTTCTTCAATTAGGAAAATATTCCGAAATCACGCGTTTTAGTGTAATTTATGTAGAGGTAAGCGATATTTGGACTTCCATACATGAGGGGTTTTTGTCATAGTTGCCACGCTTGGCGAGCGGGTTGGCAACCGCAGTTCTTCCAGACACCTCGCACCTTCAACGCTGCTGCCCGTTATTGGCCTGGATATTTGGGTCTGGAGAGTTAAGATGGTTATCCCGCCATCTATCGGAGGCCACTGGATGTTTGTGGCTTATCCCTTAGTCGCCTCTTACGACACCCACGGGATGAGATGGGGTGGCTTATTCTTACGCCGACACCACACGGCACATAGACATCCGCAGTAGAACCAAGGTAACAGATAGCTCAGAGGATTAGCAAGCTGAAGTGGCGATGGGCCGGCCATATAGCTCGTAGAACCGATAACCGTTGGGGAAGAAAGGTTCTCGAGTGGCAGCCTCGTACTGGCCACTAGATGGAGTGACGACCTGTGCAAATGTGCGGGAAGTCGATGGATGCAGGTGGCTCAGGATCGTACTTCGTGGCAGTCTGTGGGGGAGGCCTATGTTCAGCAGTGGACTCAAACAGGCTGAAATGATGATGATGATGATGAAGCGATATTTTATATTTATCTGAAAATTTTGAATTACAATCATTATTAAAGTTTAAGACTTCTTGTTTAAAATCTTGGACTGGGACGGATATGGCATCAATATCTACGGCGAATACATCGCTCACCTTCGTATTACCGCTGATATAGTCATAATGGCAGAATCGCTGGAGGACCTTAACACTATGCTCTTTAGTAACGTTTCCCAACAGGTGGGTCTTAAAATGAACATGAGCAAGACGAAAATCATGTCAAATGCCCATGTCGAACCCATACCAGTTATTATTAGAAATCGTACACTTGGACACCTTGGACAAACCGTCCAGTCAGGCAGGTTCATTTTCGACAAAGGTGTCACTCGAAGAATCCATCTCGGATGGGCAGCGTTCGGGAAACTACGCGATATCTTTTCGTCCAAGATTCCGCAGTGCCTGAAGACAAGGGTTTATAAATAGTGTGTGTTGCCAGCGGTGACGTTTGGCACTGAGACATTTTCTCTAAAAGTTGACCTTTTGGAGAAGTTCAGAGCCACACAACGAGCTATGGAGAGAGCTATGCTCGACAAAATCCGGAACGAGGAAATTCGCCGGAGTCACCGACATAGCTCTCCGGATATCCAAGTTGAAGTGGTAGTGGGCAGGCCACATCGCTCGAAGAACTGATGACCGATGGGGAGTAAAGGTTCTCGAGTGGCGACCACGAACCGGAAGACGTAGCGTTGGAAGGCCTAGGTGGTTCGACGACATCATAAGAGTTGCGGATAACCGGTGGATGCGAATGGCAAAGTGTCGTTCGTTGTGGCGTTCTAAGGGGGAGGCCTGTGTTCAACAGTGGACTTCTTGCGGCTGATGATGATGATGACTTATTTCAGTTAGGAAAATATTCGGAAATCACACTTTTTAGTGTAATTTATGTAGGGTCAAGCGACATTTGTGTTTAGCTGAAAATTTTGAATTAAAGCATTATTAAAGTTTAAGAACAAACTTGTTGAACAAAGAATAAACTGACTTATAATTAGATAATGTTATCTGTTTTTTTGTTATTGTTTAACATATAGTGAAAAGATAGATAAGACACTATCAGTCATATTTTGTACCTGACCTATAGTCAACTATAATTACCGAATTATTCGTATTGTGGTTGGTATAAATAGGGGGATTGGAGCGAGAATAGTCACTTGCGACCATGGCTCGTCTGGTGTTGTGCTCGTTAGCCCTGCTTTTAGCAGGTGCCCTGGCGGATTCCACGTGGGAGATCAAGAAAAAAGTTGGTAAGTATCACTTAACGCTTTCCTACCATTAACTGATAGTATCATAACTGTAAGAATATTCTTAAGTTGTATATTTTTATAATTGTACTTGTACCTTTTGTATCCATTACATTATTTTTTAACAGACTTCGAAAAACGATTTCTGACTGCGTTCTAAATTCGGTTGTATATTTTTTATATTTGATATCTCAGAACTCTGTCATTTATGAACCAATTTTAAGAATTATTTTTGCATTGAGTTCGATTTCGTTCCCATAGAGGCCCGTATTAATTTCAAAAGTATTGTGGACTTTAAGCGACGGAAATACTTCAGGAAACTTCTCAAAATCAAATAGAAAAAGTATAGTTAGAGAAATAATTAAATAAAGATGTTATGAAATAACTGTTTAAGAAAATCGAATCAATTGTGAACGAATATATTTTTCCCGGTCATTAAATTGTTTACGTGGTTTGTTGGAAATAAGCCAGGGAGATATTTGAAGAAAGTTTTGTTTGTTGTTACTAAAAATGTTCTTGTATTGCACAGGCTTCGAAAAAAGTAAGGGTATATAAAGCAAGGATTCTGTATTTTTCTACAGATATTAATTAAAACGACCTGAACAAGGCATAAAGTTATATTATTTTATTAATGATTTAAATATCATCATTGCCATCAACTTTTTGGTTTTGACAAATTTAGTATGATAAGAAAATTTAAAAAAAAGAGAAATAAGTGTGATGATAGTTTTTACAATTGCTGTTCAAATTTTTAATTATATTTCTGTAATGAATATTTCTTTTATAGCTGACCAGGTATTCCTTAAGCAGCAAGTGGATGTGCTTAGCCTATTTTTCCACATTCATGAACCCATTCACGTGCCCGAGCTTCAAGATGCTGTGAACAACTGGGATCTTCAAAAGAACATTAATCTCTATACCGTAAGATATTATATTTAAGAAATGGGGATGATGAGTATTTCATTGATGAATATCAATTTAAAGTAAACTTTCTTTGCAGAATGCTAGTGCTGTGCAGATTTATGCAGAAATGTTAAAGGAGGGTCTTATGCTGCCTCGTACTGTGCCTTTTTCGGTTTTAGAGCCCACACATGTATTTGAAACTAAAGTATTGTTTAACGTTCTCTATTCAGCTAAAGACTTTGACACGTTTTTCAAAACAGCAGCCTTCTTGAGAAACAAGATCAACGAGGGTCTTTTTGTGTATGTACTTAGTGTTGTGCTGCTAAACCGCCCCGATACCCAAGGAATTGTTATCCCGCCAATCTATGAAGTATTCCCCTCATACTTCAATATGGCTGAGATTATGTCAACGGCTCAGAGAATTAATACTCATGGCAAGAGAATGGTTGAACATTACCCGAATACCTATGTTTGGGACGAAAACGTTGTGATAAGATGGAACGTCACTATCTGGCCTTACCGTTATAAAGACCTTAGTCTTGCCTACTTTACGCAAGATGCTAAATTAAACGCATATTATTACAACTTACATTTATTATACCCGTCTTGGCTCGGCAGTGATGTTGTACCTTTAGTAAAAGACAGACGCGGAGAATACTTCTGGTTTTACCATAAACAAATTCTGGCTCGCTACTACATGGAAAGATTATCTAACGGGCTTGGAGAAATTCCAGAACTAGGTATAGATGTTGTTAAAGAAGGGTATGTTCCTGGAATTTCATATTATAATGGCATACCATTCCCTGTAAGGCCGAACCATTTCCATTTGGATCAACCAGAGTTTATTGAAGCTGTAAATGAGATTATTGATATTGAACACCGTATTCGGGAAGCAATCGACACGGGATATGTCATCAATGTAGGTTTGACATTTTGTTAACTCTTTAAACTCCTTAAGGTCGGAGATATGTTTACTTTAATCAACTTAAATTTTTATTTTATAGCCATTAGGAGAACATATTAGCATTCATTCTCCAGAGGCAATTGACATTCTCGGTAGTGTAATCGAAGCTAATGCCGACTCCGTGAACCCGCAATACTACAAAAACTTTATCAGCGTTTGGAAGAAACTGCTCGGCAACACTGTATGGCACAAACACCAGTATCATAAAAAGTAAGTTTTATTTTTCAAAATATACGACAAGCTTATAAATGTTTCAAGTATTTAAAAAGAACACATTATTTGCAGTCTCATTCCATTGGTGGTTCCATCAGTGTTGGAGCATTACCAGACTGCTTTGCAGGACCCAGCATTCTACATGATCTGGAAACGCGTTTTGGGTCTTTTCACTTACTGGCAGAAACAGTTCTCAGCTTATAAGAAAGAAGAACTGGCATTACCTTCAGTTGTTATTAAGAGCGTTGAAGTCGATAAACTAGTCACTTACTTTGAGCACACATATGTCAACGTTACTAACCACCTCCACATGAACGATTTCGAAAGTAAGTTTGCGTTTTTAACAGTCGATTTGTTAAGAAATTTCAGTTCAATTTTAAATAATTGCTTTTTTTAGGCAAGGCAGTCGCGGATGACATAAGTGTCGTGGTGCAACGTCCTCAACTGAATCATAAGACCTTTAATGTCCGTGTTAATGTGAAGAACGAAGTTGCAAAGACTGTTGTTGTTAAATTCTTCTTAGCACCGAAGTACGACAGCGATGGTTACGAAATTCCGCTGCACGTTAACACCGAAAACTTTTATTTGTTGGATCAATTCCTTTATGACCGTAAGTTTTGCAATCCACTTCTTGAATGTTTTGTTTCCTGCGGAAATAAAAGTTTTAAAAATCGAACAGGAGGTAAAACTCAATTCATTGATTCGAAGTTAACAAATATTATTATTTTGCAGTGCCTGTCGGTGATGTCACTATTAAACGCAATCCGTCAGACAATTGGTTTACAATTCGTGACTGGACCCCAGCGTATCAAGTGTATGAGAAGGCTAATGACGCATTGCACGGTAAAGGACAATTTGTTATCGATAAGTCTCAAAGGCTTGATGGATTCCCAGACCATCTTCTATTGCCTAAAGGTATGTATAGTTCTTTTTAACAAATTCTTATTTTTATTTTCAGCTACGTAAATACGTTTCAATAAGATTTGAAGGGATTTCTAAAGATAATATACCTTACTTTTGTGTACAGGTCGCGTTGGAGGAATGCCATTCGTTTTCTTGGTATACATTTCTGAATACCGCTCACCTAAGGTTCCATATGCTAGCAACTTCGATGCTTCTTCTTCTCTTGGCCTTGGTTCTGGTGCTCGCTGGATGAATGACGAACCATTTGGATTCCCATTGGACCGGCCGTTGTATCAGTGGCAGATTAAGGATCTTCATAACATATACGTTCAAGATGTGTCCATAGTCCACAAACAAGTTCCAGAAGTAATGATTCCTCACGTAGAATAAACGTATCTTGGTTTTCCTCGATATCAAGCTAATTAAACATTAATGTGACTTGCAATATTTAATATTGTTTAAATTATGACAGCTACACGAACACAGAATAGCACTTTATTGTGTAAGCTTAGCTTGATATCGCTGTCTCTTATATTTGTTTTTGCTAAATAAAGTTACATTTTTATATATGTATATTATATTAGTATATGTATCGATTGTTTGTATTTATTCTGTTATAATATGAAATATCTATTGAAATATATTGTTATTTTCTAAAACATTTTTTTTATTTTCTTAAAGTCGTAGAAGTAAAGATATTTGGTGTTTTATCTAGGAACTGCAATTCTTCCTTTATATTTTTTTAATTTCGTCATAATTTCGAAACTTAGCTTTTCATTTGAAAGAGTTACTCCGACTTGCATTCTTAATTCTTATGTCTGTTAATAATTTTAATTTTAACGAGATACCTATTACTGACGAGATTATAGCTTTTTTCGCGTATAATTGTATATAACACGTATAATTTGGTCATCTTAAAGGAGCGCATTAGTTTTATATCCATGTCAAATTCTATATCCTACCTTATTTGAACTTGAACATGAACTATTCATTAAATTACCTTAGTTTCTCAATAAATTTAATTGTTTCTGAACATACGTATTCATAAGTGAACGAATGAATACCTTTAAAATGTTCAAGGTAATATTTAGGGTTCATTTTTATATTCAATGCTAGTCTCTGCTGTCAGGACGAAACTTTAAATTGTAAATTTTTATAAATAAATGAACGAAAACTTTCAGTTTTGCGAGATTCCAACTTGCATCTTCTTGTTTCGCACCGAGACGCTTTACCAACTAAGCTAAACGTCGGATGATCTCACGGCGCGTGAATCTCAACACCTATCTACTATTAGTTCTTTACATTTCCTTTGCAATGCTTTGCGCCATTTATTGTGCATTCTTACAAAGATCATTCAACTCCCAGTAATGTGCGGTACTTTTTCTTCTTCTTATACTTAATTCCTAAGACAATTATTTTGAATCGAATCGACTAAATCTTTGTTAGCATCATAAAATATACCATAATATAGGAAGACATGATAACTAATAGAGTTCACTTTTCACTAGGCAACGGGAATGATTCATTTGAGACATACATGTGAAACATGTTTCATAAATGGTCGCTATACGAAAGTTTCAAAGGAATAACTAATAAGAAAGGAATTGCTGTTTATGTAGATTTCCAAACGAAGTTAATTATCTTCTGGAGTGATTTGCACCAAACAACGAAAAAAAATTGAAAAATCTGTGTCTAAAAAGCATGTTGTAAAACCTGTCGCCTTGTCCACTTTATTGAGTGAAGCTGCCTATCACTACAAGTCGTCCAACAGCAACACAAAGTCGGCCTGCTGTCTATCTGTCCCCAATTCGTTAATCGTAAGTGCTTACAAGTAAAATCACTTACAAGCCCCTACCGCTAGTTACATTGCGCCGCAGCCGACGTAGACCGTGACATGTCCTCGACTACCTTGATGATGAGACGACTATCGCCATCGACAGGATTATAAAACTACGCAAGCACACCAAAACACTGCACTCTCCGGCGAGTGCGGCAAACATATACTAGGTTCCGCCACATACCTGGCAGTTTCTCCCCAGTTAATGATAGGAGCGTAACTAGAGTTTCTTCCGGCACTTCTTCTCCCAGCGCCAACGCTTTCTGAAGTGGTAGTAATGTAACATCTAGAAATAGACTAGAATAGATACTCAGATAATAGCTACCGATGGAGATGGGGTCCGGCCCTCTCGGGCACCTTCAAATCGGAATGCTTCTAAGAGCTTGGTGATATCCGGCGAAACTGTAAAGGCTCCTAAGGCCAACAGTGGCTCATCAAGCACAAAAAATGTCTGTCTGTCCCTATGTATGGTTAGATCTTTAAAACTACACAACGGATCTACGGATGATGCGGTTTTTTTTACCAGATAGAATGATTCGAGAGGAAGGTTTATAATGTATAATACATTGCACCCGAAGCAGGTCGCTAGTAAGTTATAAAATATAGCTGAGATAGCCATTATTTGGTTCATAGTGTGTCATGAATTCATAAAGTAAAGTAACAGGCTAACTAAGACATATTTTTTTTGTTATTATTTCGAAAATATGTAGGATTCCTCAGGATGTTTTGCCTTCATCGTTCACCGGCACTTAAAATTAACAATTTCATTGGTGCCGGCACCGATTATCGAACTCAGGTTGCTCCAGTATATTGAATTAAAGGCGAGTACCCGGACACTGAGCTATCAAAGAAATAAATAATAATACGAATAAATAAAAATACTACCTATTGATGTTATATATATAGTTTAAATTAAAATTTTATAATGTTATTTGGCACTTACGTATCTTTTTCCTGATACAACGCTCTGCGGTTTTCATTTTAAATGGGTTCTATTCAATATGAAAGTTTCTATTGTCGTGATGTCATCTGAAATAGTATAAAAACGTATTATGTTTGTACGGGAGTGGGACAAGTATAAAAGAATAAATTCTGAAAACCGTGGGTGAATCAAATCTTAGATAGAGCCGTAAAAACATAACAACTACAAGATGCTCAAATATTAGTTGCAGATTAACACAATTGAACTAGCTGTATTTTACTTGTGGTAGAACTATATAATTTCTGTTGCTGTAGACTTGTCTGAGGCAATATCATGGTCTAAAAGAAGAACTTAAGTGTAGTAACAGGGGTCCACTCTTTGAATGTTGACGAGCTAACTGCAAAATATCCATCTGTAATCACTCATCACGCTGGGCACTTTTTCAGATAAAAAATGATCTAGCGAAAAGTTCTGAAATTATAAAAAAATAAAATTTAAGCATTTATATTTTATTTCAGACAAGTAAGCGTCTTGCATGCGGTACAAATTTTGTTCGGCTGATTAATTATCTATTTGGGCCCTATTAGGGTAAGGAAGAGCGATATTAATGGATGTAATAGTAATTTATATTATAACTATCAGTAACTAATTTATATTTTTACCTATTTATTATTAAAGTGTATTACATGGGACTTCGGTTTTGTTGTCTCTAGAAAACTGGTTATTGTGCAAAATTACGCCATCTGTTGTCATTACTGCGTATCTTTTACCGCCATCTATGCTCCAGTTATCAAACATAAATAAAATTTACTGTACTGCAGGATGTCTTAGTTACTAATTTAAGAACTAGATGTCTCTATAAGAACCATTGTGACTAAAATAGGCTTATTTTCCGGGCTTTTATTTACTACTAGCTGCTGTCCGCAACTACGTATGCGTAAAATAGGCCGAAGGCGTAGCATTTCATGAAATAGATGAAATTGTACGGTAAAATGCCATGCACTATAAGTAGCTGTTTGAGTTCCTAACGTAGGTCACTTTCGCACGTAAGAATACAAACAAGAATGTAAATAAGTTGATACAATATAATGTTTATAGGCATAATCAACATCATCATTATATCAGCCTTATTTACCTTTGCGTTTTGAAAATGATTAATGTAAGTAAAAAGTTTCCAAAAATCAGTCCATAAACATGGCATCCATTGCCTTTTTGCAAATTTAAGCAGGTTGTCACACTATCTTGTAGGAGAACAATGAATCTTCCTTTCATAATTATGTAATTTTAGACATAATGTAAAAAAATGTATATATAATAATATACATTTTTTATTTACATATATATACATATGTATATATATATCTAATATATAAAATTCTCGTGTCACGGGGTTCGAACTTGAACTCCTCCGAAACGGCTCGACCGATTTTTACCAAATTTTATATGCGTATTCAGTAGGTCTGAGAATCGGCTACTATCTATTTTTCGTCCCCCTAAATGTTAGGGGGTAGTCCACCCCTAAACTCTTTTTATTTTTATATAAAACTTTTTGTTTCTATTTTTTTATGACCCAGCATACAAAAGTACATACAACCGCAGCTAGTATATATATACAACAGAGCTGGTGCGGTTTGTGAAGCGGCTGAAATAATAGTAGGGTCTAGGCTCCGAACATGATTTTGTCCCATTCAGTGTTCACCCCTTTAGTTCAGTTCACCCCTTTTAATAATATATTCTAGTTATTACATTATTTTTATAAGGTTTTTGTTTTAGTTTCATTGCTGTAGTATATATTTTGTATTATTTCATCATTTTAATGTAATTTAAGATAATTGACTCATCACGATAACTCTGGAACCATAAGGCGTAGAGACTTGAAATTTGGGAGGAATATTCCTTTCGCCGAGTAGAGGTCAGCTAAGAAGTCTATGAGTCCAAGGTCCGGATTTTATGAAATCCCACTAAACAACGTTTGCTCTACGTTAACACAAAACAGCTACTTTATAATAAAAAGAAGTAAAGTTAATTATTTTGAAATCGTCAAAAATAATAATTTCGGTTCCAATTTAAACTACTATATTTCAATTTAGAATGGTAAAATTATAAAACATTTAAATTTAATAATAAGTAAAAAAATATTACACTCATCATATGCTCATCATAAATTTGCTTATTTAGGTCTTTTGGTTATTGAGTCACATCGAATAGTATTGAAGGTTAATGAAAGTGTACTCAGCGTCATTGGTAACCTTTAATGTTTACATTCATGATAACAGCATCTATTCGGTACCTGACCCACACTAGATAAGTTTTAAATATTATCTTTGCATTGGGGTATAAATAGTGGATTCAGGTGACAACTACAGACGATCATGGCTCGATTGGTGCTGTGTGCATTGACCCTGCTAGCCGCAGGCAGCCTAGCAAATCCGGTCAAAAAGCCGTCGCAAAAAATTGGTAAGTACATATGTTAACACCGAAATATTCAATCTCATTCACTAATGAGAGTTAGCAGATCTTATAGATTTGCCTACGTGGTTACACAAAATATAACTCCATACATTAAACTACAGCTAACGTTTGGACCTTAATTTCAGTTAATTATTGTTCGTTTTTTAGAAAATTAGTAGTCATAGAAATTTGTAATATTAATATTTAATCGCTTAAGGGGTTAAACCTTTGAGCGATTAAATATTAATATTTAATTTGCGCGTTTCTGTAGGAATTCATCGGGTAGCGCCGATTTGTTAACCACACTAATGCTTTTGTGGTATCAATCTACATAAATAACTACGAAACTTTCACGTCAAAATGTAAGTTTAAGCCCTGGCCGCATTTCCCGCCGCAGTTCCCTGAACATTGACATCTATATCATCTACACTCTTGTTTACACCAAAATTTCTAAAATTTTTAAAACCCTATGGCATTTTCCGTTACGATGGCAAGAGCATCAGATGGCTTGAATTTAAGCCGGTGGGAGTGGGACTAAGCCCTAGTTACGTCAGCATTTTCCCGGCCGGGGCAGCATTAGAACTAGCTGAAATAAGTAAATGGCGCAAACATAAATCTGTTTGTTCAGATTATGTATTTGTGCTATTTACTGTTGAAATTTTTGGGTTTATTACTGTTGAAATTTTTGAAATTGGGGTCCCCCCCACGGACATAACGTTAAAATTTTTGAAAGATTTACGTCCTAGACTTATCGCTACAGATGACGACAAGTGGGTGGATTCTTTTCGAAGTTTTTGGTATCATGCCGCGTGGGCTAGATTTGCTAGATTACATGTTATTATTTGTTATTGTAAATATATGTGTTTAATGCAAGAATGAATTCTAATAAAATATTAATTATAAATTAATATCTCAAAAAGAAATCTTTATGCCGTTGCTAACGCCAATTATGAATATTAATACCTTCTAGCTGATCCGGAATTCCTTCAACATCAATTAGACGTGTGGAATTTGTTTTACCATATTCATGAGCCCGTTCATGAGCCATCTCTTCAAGCTATAGTGAAATCATGGGACCTTGAAAAGAATATTGAACACTATACCGTAAGATATAAAAATAATTAAGTTATTATAAAATTAAAAATGAGAATAGTAACTGTTCAAAATAATTTGAAAATGTTATAACTTTCTGTTTAATATTTACAGAATATCACGGCTGTTAAACTTTATGCTGAATTAATAGAAAATGATCAAATACTGCCTCGCGGCGTGCCATTCTCCGTTCTGGAGTACTCTCATAAATTTGAGGCAAAGCTCTTATATGATGTCCTCTATTCAGCTAAAGACTTTTCTACATTCTACAAAACGGCTGTTTACGTGAGAAACTGGGTCAACGAAGGTCTCTTCGTCTACGTTCTAAGTGTTGCACTATTGCATCGTCCTGATAGTCAAGGCATAGTCATCCCACCAATCTATGAAGTTTTCCCATCATACTTCCAAAATTCTCAGATTATGTGGATAGCTCAGAGAATAAACACACATGGCAAGAGGATGATTGAACATTATCCGAATACTTATGTTTGGGACGATAATGTAGTGATAAAGTGGAACAGAACAACATGGCCTTACTCTAATGATGATGTCTCCATCGAGTATTTCACGAATGACGTCCATTATAACGCACTTTATTACAACTTACATCTTATGTACCCATCATGGCTAGGAAGTGAAGTTACGCCCTTAATTAAAGACAGACGTGGTGAATACTTCTGGTTTTATCACAAGCAAATCCTAGCTCGCTACTACATGGAAAGATTGTCTAACGGACTTGGAGAGATTCCTGAACTCGGCTGGGGTGTTGTTCAACAAGGATACGTTCCTGAGATTTCATATTATAATGGCATTCCTTTACCAGTAAGGCCTAATCACTTCCATTTGGATCAACCAGAGTTTGTTGAGGCAATAACAGAGATCCAAGAGTATGAGCACCGTATTCGTGAAGCAATTGACAGAGGATATGTTATTAATGTAAGTTTCTGTACTTATGTTACAAATCGGTATACTTAATTCGGATTTTTATGTTTACCTTAAACTACAGAACTGGATCTAAGATTCTGTAAGTAACAGGTATTAAATTTAGTAAGTTTTTAGAAAATCACCTGATTTGATGTCCAAAATAGAAGCGTTTAAAAGTTTACGTTTAAGTGATTGATATTAACATCCCTTATAGCAACTAACATGTCTATCCCTATGCAATAAGATGGTAAAAAAGTTTTTTCAAGTTCTTTATCAATGAAGTTAAGAATTAAGAGAATAGATATGCAATTAGGTCTTATACCATTACGTCTTTGCCCAGTTGTGAGACATGTATAGGGGGTTAGTTTATTTTTTATATTTTCTTCTAGAACTTGGGTGAGCACATTAATATTCGCACTCCAGAGGCCATTGACATTCTAGGCCGCTTGGTTGAGGCCAATGTGGACTCTCCTAACCCTCAGTACTACAAGGACTTCATCAGCATTTGGAAGACTTTGCTTGGAAATACTGTATGGCACAAACACCAATTCCATAACGAGTAAGTTGGTTTTAACACGATCGTTATTCAAAGCTTTATATTTATTCCAAATCATTAAAACATAAATGTTTTCAGTCTTATTCCATTGATCGTTCCGTCAGTGCTGGAGCAGTACAAAACCGCTTTACGGGACCCTGCATTCTACATGATCTGGAAACGTGTTTTGGGACTGTTCACTGCTTGGCAGACATACCTCCCGGCGTACAAAACCGAAGAGCTAGTTTTACCTTCGGTTGTTATTGAAAGCGTAGAAGTCGATAAACTAGTCACTTACTTTGAGCACACATACGTAAATGTTACTAATCATTTGCACATGACCGAACACGAAAGTAAGATGTTTTTTAAACTTGGCTATGCTTTTCATTACAAACAAGTAATTAGTAAGTGTTTTAAATAAATTTTTCATTTCCATTTTTAGGTAAAGCCTTAGTAGATGATGTAACTGTATTAGCTCAGCGCCCACAGTTGAACCATAAAGTCTTTACGGTTAGTGTTAAGGTCAAGAGCGACTCTGCGAAGACTGTTGTCGTGAAGTTCTTCTTAGCACCCAAATATGACAGCAATGGCTATAAGATTCCGCTGCAAGAAAACACTGAAAACTTTTTCTTGCTTGACGAATTTTTGTATGATTGTAAGTATAAAAAATTCAGAGAGCAATTTGATTATTTTATGAATTTTTTGTTATTATAATTATCCTAATGTTTTTTTTAAATATTTACTAGTGCCCGTTGGTGAAACTGTGATTAAACGCGAATCTAAGGACGATTCGCTGACAGTTCATGACTGGTCATCTGGATACAAAGTTTATGAAAAGGCCTATAACGCACTTCACGGAAAAGGACAGTTTGTTCTTGATATGTCTCACAGAATTGATGGATTCCCTGATCATCTTCTACTGCCTAAAGGTAAAAACGAAGCAACTGACTAAGTACACAATGGTCGTAAATAGTCACCGGTGATGGTCTTGTGATTGTTTTCGAACTGTACGAATTTTTTGTTGTCTCATTAATTCGCATTTCATGCTGACTTCTGGTTTATAAAACATTGCAATAATTAACTGTAAATAATGTTCAAAACTGGATCTTAATATGACTACATAGTATAAAATAAAGTCGTACCGCTGCCTGTCTGTCCCTATGCATGCTTAAATATTTAAAACTACGCAACGGATCTTGATGCGGTTTTCTTTACTAGATACAGTGATTTAAAAGGAAGGTTTAAATGTATAATACATTACACCCGTGCGATGCCGGGGTGGGTCACTAGTCATTTATAATTTTAAAGCAGTGGTAAAGCTATCAATCAAAAATTTTTGTATTTTTATCAACAGGTCGCGTGGGTGGTATGCCTTTTGAGCTTCTGGTGTACATCTCGGAATTCCAGCCAGCCAAGGTTCCATACGGCAGTACCTTTGACCCGGCAATTTCACTTGGACTCGGCTCTGGATCACGTTGGTTAAGCGATAAACCATTTGCTTTCCCTCTGGATCGACCATTGTACCAATGGCAGGTTGATAAGATCAAGAACTTATACATCCAGGACGTTAATATCTATCATAAACACGTGCCGGAAGTTGTAATACCTAATGTGGTATAATCTCATATATGTTAATCTGTACACATATTTATACGGAAAAAAAAACTTCATTCAAATTGAGCGTTAGGGGATGAAATTGCTGTTTAGTGCCTTTTAGCAATTTTTATGTAAGTCACACATGACTTTATATATATATATATATATATATATATATATTTGAATATAGTGAATTTTTACAAATATATCTAATCGTTTTATTGAACTAATACTTTAAAATAAATGTGAAAATAAGCTAACTGTTCCAAATTTACATAGTAATTTATTTGTTCTGTTTAGGAATAATATTTACAAAGGCTATTTAATTATTCTTAATGATTATAGATTTACAAAACATCTTTCAGTGCATCAACATAAAATGATTTAAACTTATGCCGTGGCGCGGTCCATCCTTACTAATATTATAAAGGCGAAAGTTTGTATGTATGGATGGATGTTTGTTACTCTTTCACGCAAATACCTACTACTGAATGGATTTTAATGAAACTTTACAATAATATAGGTTATACATCAGAATAAGACATAGGTTATAATTTATATTCATATTTTATGTATATCTGTCTTTCTGTCTGAATGTTACGCCTTTAGCCTATTCTACGCAGACGTAGTCGCGGGCAGAGGCTAGTAATAAGTATGTGAGATATGACTTTCTTTCTCGTATTAAATCGTTTATTTGTAAAAATCCATTCCTAGAGTAAAGTTTATCTTTATTACTGTGCTAATATTTATTAACTTTTAAGAGGCCAAAAAACTAAGTCCAGTGACCTATCTAGTTGCAATAAAATGCATTTCATATATGATTTTTACATAATAGTTCAGTTAAACTTCGAGTTTCTTTTTTTTTTTTTTTAAAACAGCCCTTACTGTAGAATAACAATATCCTGTGATGTAAGGACGTTTTACGAATGAACGAGTTTATGCTTTTAAAATGCTGTAAAATGATTTTTTCACTCGGAATTTTAACGTTGTGGCATTAATGACAAAATTTCTTTATTATTTATTTTCAATGGATATTATTTCAAGACGGCAATCCATTATCATCTTATACAATATTATGTTGCAATTGCTTATTACTTTATCAAAGTAACTTATTAAGAAAGTATTTAAGATTATTTGGATAAACAGACAATAACTCAATCAATGTTAAAACAAAATATACAAATGATTTGTTCCGCCAGCTTCGACCACAGTTCCCTTCAATTAAAGAACGAACCTAAGTACATAAAATAGCACAGGTATATTATTGAGTGTCTTTGATGTCAATATTACGAAGAATCTTTTATTTATTTACATAAAAAATATTGTTTACACCCAAATATAACGAGCCGTGACAGCAGTGTCCGGGCGCTCGACTTTAATTCAATACTCTCTAGCCACCTTAGCATGATTCCCGGTGCCGGCACCAATAAATATATCAATATTGTTTATCACGTGCTCAATATCCTACCTACATATCATAAGCTGTTATTTTACCCCAAGAAACTAAACTAAAGGCAAACTTAATGCTAATAAGCATTCTCTTCCATTCAACATCCTAAATATAATTTTAAAAATAAAAAGAAAACAACGTCAGTTTGGGTAACTTTGAATATTTTTTACAGAATTCGTGCTATTAAAATTTCATTTATATCTATTACACCTTTATTTTATTGAATGAAGAGTGACCTTTTGAGTTGTGTTTTTTGCCGACACAATTTTAGGGAATCAAAATCGTAATCACTAGTAACTAAATGTGGGTGGTGAGATTATCGCCACCACGCTTATCCACGTGTAAGATAAAAAGTCTTTGCAACCACTCCTCAAATATTGAAGAATCTGACCACAGTTTCTTTCTTTTAAATATAAAGTAAGGAGGGAAAACTTCACCACCATTTTGCACAAAAGAACACAGTATAATACGTTTTATAACTTCAGGTTGTCGAGAGACCTTTCGAAAAAGCAACATCTTTCCAGGATTGTCATGAAATCCCGATTCACCCATTTTGTAAACAGCGTGTCTTTTCAATCGCGACAATAAATGAACACACATATAGGGGATAACTTTTTAAAATTGTATTAAACATTTGCATTCTTTAAACATCAATATTTACAGAGTTATTAAATTTTCAAAAATAAAGAATTTTAGAACACCCTTACGTATAAAACTGTAACGTAAAGTTTATTGGTATAAAGGTCACAAAGCATATGAATGGGTTGAATGAATTTAAAAGAGACAAAACATACTGTTAGGAGAGGCTTGTAATGCGACGCTGTGGCGCGAATAGTATAGGATGTTACAAATTTTGTTTCTTTATTACTTAATTAGTTTGTTTGAAAAATATTTTTTTTTAATTATGGATTTTGTTTAACGTTAATATTTTTTTATGATTATTGGCAAGTAGGGTTAGACGTGTATTCATTTATTGTCGCGATGGTAACGACACGCTGTATATTTTCTGATGGGACTCCTCCTATTTCCATTTTAATATTTGCTTTAAATTCTGGGTTTCTTTCTAGGAACAAGACACCCCATTCGTAGCCTGGCAAGTTAAAAAATTATATGGGTAACTTTAAACCATTCAATGTTACCCATATTATTTAGATTTTGAACGTTGTCTAAACTTTATCAGTTTTACACAATATCTAACATCAAATACGGATACTGATTTGATTAATAATCTATAAACTACTTGTTAAGATTAAAACCAAAACATACCTGTTTACAATAATTTTTGTATTTTTAATTACGATTCCAAAACAGAGTAACAAATACTTCCACGACTGCACCACGGAAAAGGCAAGAAATTTGCCAAATTATTGCATTGAAAGTTTATTTTTTTTGCTTTACGTTATTTCAAAACATTTTGGCGATCGGTGTACGCAGTTACGATATTGAAACAAAAATAGTTTTTGTGTAATAAATTAATAAATAGTTTTTACAACAACGTTCGAAGTTAAACCGCAATTCAAAGTTACCCAAAACGACTGTATGAATAGGTATATTTTTTATAAATGTACCTTCATGACTCATCATTTCACTCTGTTTGAGTCCATTGCTGAACATAGGCCTCTCCAACTGACTGCCACTAAGCATGATCCTGAGCCACCTGCATCCATCGACTTCCCGCACACTTTCACAGGTTATCACTCCGTCTAGTGGGTGGTCATCCTACACTGCGATGATTTGTACGAGGCTGTCACTCAAGATTCTTCCTCATCGGCTATTGGTTCAACGAGCTATTTGGCCAGCCCATCGCCACTTCAGCTTACTAATCTTCTGAGATATGTCGGTTATCTTTGTGCTACTTTGGATATCTTCATGGTGACCTCTAGCAAATAATACCAAGCTTCATAGTTCGCCGAGTGACTTTGAGATTCCTCGTACGTCCAGCAGTGTTGGAACCCGTCTCGGTTAAAGCCTTTGGTCTTCAAACATTGAGGGTTATAAGACGATAATATATGTCAAAGTTTCCCGAACGCCGCCCACCGGAGTTGGTTTCGCTGATTGACCTCTGTGTTGAAGTTGGACTTACCTAACCAGACTAGCTATCCTGGGTAAACGAACTCGTAAACAACTTCAGGCGCAGTGCTCCCAACAACAACTAGTCTAGGTGTGTTCATCTCAAGACCCTTCCGTTGGTAGACACTGTTGAGGTCATTGAGCATAGTACCAAGGTCTTCCAGCGATATTGTCAAGATGACTATGTTGTCGGACATAAGCTAGACGCAAAGGCGTATTATACTCTTCGGTCTTCTGTATAATCTGCCGCAGAGTGTGTATGTGGTCTATGGTACCGAAGCTTTATCAGATTACGGCTTGCTCGGGTGGCTGGAAATCGTTGAGTCTGTACCACCTTTCTTAAAAAACACCACCACCAAATTTCTCCACGCCTCATAGCAATTCTTTAGGATGGAATTAAAGAGTCTCTGACTGAGTACCGGTTCTCCACCCGCTTTCAGAAGCTATGCTGTAATTATGCCCTTCCCTAATGTATTCCATTCTTAAGATGGTCAAGAGCCATTCTAAACTCGCTCACACTGACTAGAAAAAGCTTTGCATTAATATGGTTAATGTGATCGAATATCAGCTTTTCGTAGTGCGTCTTTGCAGGACTTGGCAGCTTGATAAGCGGCATTCTTCTATCCCAATATAAGCATCCTGTTATCCGTTACCAAGGAAGTCCACCCTTCTTTCCGTGCTTGGGATAGCAGTTTATTAGATTTATGAGGACAACGTTGTGGACATAAAATGCTGCCTTGCCCTTGTTACATCCACAGTCACCATCCTATTACGCCTGCATCAATTGCGTAAAGACCGGTGACTCCATCAATATAATCAACCGCCGGAAAATCGCGGTGTCTTTCGTTATCCTAACTTGGGATCGATTGGATACCCGATAATTAGTGTAGTGGTAATTAGTAATAAACTTAGTTTTGAATTTTTGTTATCCTTTATCAAATACGAGTACCTGGATGATCGAGGTTTGCTCGGTATTTAAAAAAAAAGTAAAAAAAATAAGTGTGTAAATGATTGTGACACGAACCGCGGCCTTTTGTTTCGGAGCCGCCCGATTACAGACCGAGCTATTATAACATTTTTTTTTTCGGCGAAATTTACCGTCATATTCGAATGATATTTTTCATTTCCTGAAAACAAGGATAAAAGGACATTTTCTAAAAATGAAACCTAGTCAGAGCTATTTTTCGCCCCCGAATCTACGCACATACTAAATTTCATGAAAATCGCTGGAGCCGTTTCCGAGATTTCAATTATATATATATAATTGAAATATGTTTGCAATAGGCTGGTTGACTGACAGATAAATAAATAATGTAGGTATATTTAGTATGTTATAACATTCTAAAGAAATGAAATGAATGGAAGTAGAAATTACGCTTTTGTTGTCGATGGAAGGCCATTAAGCTTACATCCAAATGTTGGCAAATATGCGTCCAAATCTAAAATTTGGTGCAACGGTCCTCCAACTGCCTGGTTACGTTTATACTCCAGTGTTGTCTCT